CTCATGATAACCCTCTTTATGACCGTCACAGCTTACGACTGCAGTTGTCAGGCTCAATTACAGTCCTAAATCAAAGGCTACCTGAAGACAGATTTTTAATCACTGTTATTTTGAAATTTTATAGCAAACTTTACTATGCTTGCTTTTATTTTCTTTTTCACTCTTCTTACCTCTTACCTCTTCTCTATTTTTTCCTCTGTTCGCCCTCTGTGAAATTCATCAAATGTAAATAATAATGTTTTGCTTTTTGTTTTTCTCAGGCCTTTTAGTCCTCTATATTTCCATAGCTGTGATCTATTTTAAATGTAGTCTTATTTCTGTAATACTTTCTATGGTAAAACTTCCTGTTTTAGCCACTGCCATTTAACTGACTGCTTTGTTATGCTCCTTTTTGCTTTGATTTATACAGATTTGGGTTTTATTTGTGTTTTTACTGTGCATTGTTCTGAGGGCTATTAACTAGAAGACAAACACTGCCTTGGAAAGAAGGTGATGGGAGATCTATGTTTGCAACACTGAACTATCTCAGGTCCCAACAGATGTTTAAACCAGTCAGGGTTTTATTTCTAAATCCTGTAAATATTTAGCACTTACTAGCTGAAGATACCATCAACAGACACTGTGCTCAAGTGCAGGATGTTCTTTTATCACCCAGGCAAAGCTTTTTTTTTTTTTTAAGTCCCATGTTTGAATTTTTACCTCTTTTGTATATTAAACTCCATGTACATAACCGAGTTTTGCTTATGGGAAATATCGAAATGTCAACCATTGTTTCTGTTAAAGGTCTTAACGATATCACAGTTTTTGGACTAGTAATGAAACACGTTGTTTGCTGTCGTTTGTAATGCATCTCATTAAATACGTTAATAGCATACGTTTTACTAAAAGGTCAGGCTTACTGTTGCTAGGACTTTGCCTTTTAAACCAAAAAGGGGGGGGGGAAGGCTTGGTTTAAAGAAGCAGGAAGCTGTGCAGCACAAAACATGTCACCTGAAGCACAAAACAAACACTGAAGACCTGTTTCAGTTACAGATAGTCGCCAACTTGCAACCATTCGTTTAGCGACCGTTTGACATTATGACGGCACTGAAAAAAGTGACTTATGACTGCTTTTCACACTTACTGTTAGAGCATGCACAGTCTTATTGCGCTGAGATAACCCAGGAGTAAACACAGTAAACAGTGTTCTATATTAAATGGTGGTTTATCATACATTATCTACAATATCATACACCAGGAACAATATACATACAAGTGTTAACACAGCCATTTCCAACACACAGCAGTTACAGCAGGAAACAGAAGAGAGAGAGAGAGAGAGAGAGCACAATCTGCAGAGTCTTCCCTTTTATACAAAGCTCTTAAAGGGATACAGACCCTGCTTGCTCTTAAAGGGACACAGACCCTGCTGAGTCATTTCCATCATTACATCATACACCTCACATTATACAAGCTGGTTAGCTGTTAAATTATTACCTTGACACTTACAAACATTGTAGCATCCCCATGATCACATGATTAAAACGCAGACACTTGGCAACTGACTCGTATTTATGACAGTTGCAGTGTCCCAGGGTCATGTGATCCCGTTTGAAGATCTTCTGATGAGCAAAGACAATGCAGAAGCCGGATTTACTTAACGATCGTATTATCAATTTAACAACTGCAGTGATTCACTTAGCAACAGTGGCCAGAAAGATCGTAAAATGAGAGGAAACTGACTTAACAATCATGTTGCTTAGCAACAGAAATTTTGGGCTCAACTGTGGTCATAAAACAAGGACTTACCAGCATGAATGGAGTGGATTAACATCACAATCTGTCACCAAAACAAATCATGAAATCTAGTTGCCTTGACATCAAACCAAATTCTACCATAAGCCAGACATGTCAGGAAAAAATCTACCTGGACTGAGAACAGATTTTCTGGAAAACTCAAAACGCTTCTTGTCTAATTTGGAAGAAAGATAATCCTTGACATACAAATGGAGCATGCCCATTCCAGTTGCATATCACGATGGGTCATAAAACAGGTCAGGCATGTTGTTGTTTTTCTGACAGTCATTAAGTGAAAGCTACGGTGGTTAAGCAAACCAATGATTCACAACGGGTGTGGTTTTGCCAAAACCTAGAAGGGTTTTGGTTTCCAGCAAAACTGTCATAAAATGTGATCACGTGACTGTGGAATGCTGCAAATGGCTGTAAATGCTAGTTGGTTGATAAGTGTCTGAATGTCAGATCCCCAAATCCTTACTGTCTCCCTTCCATCTATCTATTCTCTTGCTTTGCTTTATGGCAGAGGTAGGCAACCTTGGCTCTTTTATGACTTGTGGACTTCAACTCCCAGAATTCCTGAGCCAGCCATGCTGAGGGAAAAGGGAGAGGTTTCCAAACTGAGCCATGCTGGCTCAGGAATTCTGGGAGTTGAAATCCGGGAGTCATAGAAGAGCCAAGGTTGCCTATCCCTGCTTTAGGGCATGCCATTTAATTGGAGGGGGGGGGAGGGAGCATGTTTGCTTTCACTTGGGATAACTTTCGCTTTCTGCTTTCCTTCTTCCACCTCTATCCACTTGAGAAAGGAATGAGTCTCCCTTATCAGGGAGACGATTGCAGAAAAACGAAAGCTGGAGAAGACCTTGAGATGCCCACCAATTGTGCCAGTTACCGGCTCATTGTGCCACCTGTGGATTGGCTGGATTTCAAATGGTCATTATGATCTTTGATGGGAGGAGGAATACTGCTGGTTTAATTATATCGTTCAAGCGGGATTTTCTCCCAGATCTCGCCTTGACTTCCCTACTGTCACTGACCCCTAATAAAAGTTTCCTTTTGAGACAATGCCCGTTTCAAGAGTTCTGCTTTCTTGGGTGGTTATAGCTGAGGTGGGTCCTTACACTGAAGCTCAGTTATGTGACTGCAGAGGGGGCCCAACTATCAGAATTCCAAAGTCCACTTTCTGGGCTCAGTCGTACCTTCAAATGGTCGCTAAGCGACCAGTCGTAAGTCGAGGATAATTGTACTCATCGGTATGTCCAGCTTTACAATTCTCTCATACCACCCCATTATAGTTCCTTCCCCCCCCTCCACAACTGACTGCTTAACTCTCGATTACCCACTTGAATCACAAACAAAATTGCGAGAGTTTTCCCAGTAGACAATTCAGCTAGCAGTTGGCGAGAAGAGGCAAAAATCAAAGGCAAGACCTTAAAAAGTAGAATCGGTTCCTAAAGAAATGTCAGATTAAAAATATCTGGAAAGGTGGACAAGGAGGTTTCCTAATAGAGATAAGTGTGATTCTACACTTATTTACAATGTCTCTTGTTAATTAAATTATTTATTTTTGTTAATTTATACCCCGCCTTTATTACTTATACAAATGAGTCAAAGCGGCGAACACATCCAACACACCTTCCTCTTCCTGTTTTCTGCACAATGACAACTCTGTGAGGTGGGTTGGGCTGAGAGACAGTGACTGGCCCAAAACCATGCAGCTAACTTTTACAACTAAGGAGGAATCTGAACTCAGAGTCTTCTACTTTTTAGCCTAGTACAGACATGTCAAGCTCGCAACGTCATGTGACGTCGCGCAACGTATTGGGACAGTTTTGCCATTGCCGGCAATGGGGTGGGCGCGGCTTCCGGATGACGCATCCAGCCCGTGGGCCGGCAGTTTGACACCCCTGGCCTTGTACCTTAACCACGAGACCAGGGGTGGTGAACCTATGGCATGCGTGTGTCAACGCTGCAAATATTGTATATTCTTGCTTTTGACAATATGCAGAATTGTCTGGTAATTATGGGGTTAATACAGAGCAGAAGAGGGGTTGGGGATAAAGCCCGGGAAAGAAAGAGGAAGAAAACATTTGACCTTCACACTAATTGGATAATGTGAGATATGACGGCTAATTTAGGGAGGGAACGTGCTGATAATTTAACTGCTCAGAGGAAGAGAACTTAGATCCTAGCATCCCTCTGTTGTGCCTGTGCCGACATTTTGATTCAATAAAAGACTTTTAGGAAAATAAATGCCTGGAAGTTCTTTGAAAGGTTTCATTAGCCGGAACCATAACAGCGTGCCAGAGGCGGCACTCCGAGCCCTCTCTGTGGGCACGTGCGCCGTCACCCCAGCCCTGCCTCTCCCCGCGGCCCCCTCACCAGCAGCCCCCCTGGAGAGTCGCCCCCGAGTGCGGCCTGCGCGGAGCAGCACAGCCAAAGACATGGCAGCCGGACAGCAGGGACAAGATTCTGCCCGCGCGCCCCATCATGCGCAGTTGATGCTGCGGAGCGCGGGCGGAGAGCATGGCCACCATGGCGCTGCTGGGCCACCAGGGCGATCTGCAGTGGGCTGTGGAGGCGGTGAGTGGCCCTGCGTGCGGGGCGGAGCCAGTTTTTGGGCACTCGGTCTCTAAAAGGTTCGCCATCACTGCACTAGACCAGTGGTTCTCAACCTGTGGGTCAGGACCCCATTTGGGGTCGAACGACCATTTCACGGAGGTCGCCAAACAACGCAGTCTGCCATTTTTTCCCCCTTTTCCTTAGCTGTGCTACTCCCTTTTATTCTATTGGCTTTTGAAAGCCAATAGAATAGACTTTCTTGAATAGAGTCTAATTCTATTGGCTTTCAAAAGCCAATAGGAATTGTCCAGGCTGTCTCTGCCCTGCTGAGCCCGCCAAAAGCCCCATTCTGCAAACGGTGCTGCATCAGTTGAGTAGTCCTCGACTTACGACCGGTTGAGTAGTCCTCGACTGACGACCGGTTGGGGGTCGCGGCATTAAAAAAGTTGAGAACCACTGCACTAGACCAATTATACAGAGTAAGCAGACCTAGGAACTGATGTTTAATTATGTCTAATCAATACACAGAGAGGACTGTGGTCCCCATTTTTTTTCTTTTTTCCCTATTAAGTATGTAAAACGCCAGTAGCATCATAAGGAAACCCATAATATATTAGCTATATTGCCCATAATATTAAAACACATAATCACAGATAGATCCTTACTGTTCTTGAGCACGTTAGAAAATTCCTGTCCGCCTCTCTTCTTGAACTCAGAGAAGGTATCTGGCTGTGGAATTTGGTTGGCTATTAAGAGAGCCTTCTGCAGCTTGATTCGGCTTTCCAGGAGCTGATCCCATAGAGCTTTGGGAGAAATAAAGAAAGAGTGGGTGAGGGGAGGAGGGAGAGAAAAGCACAAAACTTTAGCCGTGATTCATTTGTTCTAGCTGTAATTTTGAACAGAGCAGACTCATCACGGAAACAGGTTTCACAATTCCATTTTTTTCCTGCCTTATCTCAGTTCCTTGGAGGGAAAGCAGAAACTGCTTTTCCAAGCATGGTAGCCATTTCTATTCAATTCAAGCAAAATGCAGAAGCTTAGGTTTCTCCCGTTTCTCTTCCACCCCCCATCCCCATGTGTTTAAATGATTAGATGAATTTCCCTCCTGAGGCAGTTAAAACAACAAGGCCCTATCAGAACAAGGAAAGGGATGTAAAGTAAAATAAAAAATAAAAGTGGGTAGGCAAGGAAAGAAAAACCAGCCACAAAATCTTCTACAAAAATCTTCTCAGCAATTTTATGGAATACGGCAGGGGTCTCCAATCCCCGGTCCGTGGACCGGTACCGGGTCGCGGTATGCCAGCAACCAGTCCACACAAAGGAGTTACTTCTGGGTTTTGGCCAGACGTGCCATCCCCAGGCAAACCCATTGGTTTGCTTAATGACCATGGCGTTTGCTTAACGACCCTGGCAAAAAAAGTTCATAAAATCAGGAAAAATTCATTACGATCATAACTCGAGGAGTAGCTGTATTCTTATACAAATACATTTTACTGAATGAGAATGCCCCAGAAGCAGAACTATAGGAGGTATCTTTAAAACTAAAGTAGATTTTAGATTGTGAGTACCAATCATGCAGGGGAAAAACTTTGGGCCAGTCACTCTCTCTGAGCCCTAGGAAAAGAGCAGTGGCAAACCATTTGTCACCCAGGTTCATTTGAAACAAACCTGGCTGAATCCATTTTTTTTCGTTCTGAGTTGCCACATAGATGAGGGGAGAAGAGGGGGGAAGTACTATTTCTCAGAGTCCTAGTGGACAATCACTTAAATATGAGCCAGCAGTGTGCTGCAGCTGCCAAAAAGGCCAGCACAGTGCTAGGCTGCATTAACAGAGGGACAGAATCAAGATCACGTGAAGCGTTAATACCACTTTACAATGCCTTAGTAAGGCCACACTTAGAATACGGCATCCAGTTTTGGTCACCGCGATGTAAAAAAGATGTTGAGACTCTAGAAAGAGTGCAGAGAAGAGCAACAAAGATGATTAGGGGAGTGGAGGCTAAAACATATGAAGAATGGTTGCAGGAATTGGGTATGTTTAGTTTGTGAAGTGAAGGACGAGGGGTGACATGATAGCAGTGTTCCAATATCTCAGGGGCTGCCCCAAAGAAGAGGGAGTCTAGCTATTCTCCAAAGTGCCTGAAGGCAGGACGAGAAGCAACAGATGGAAACTAATCAAGGAGAGAAGCAACCTAGAACTAAGGAGAAACTTCCTGACAGTTGGAACAATTAATCAGCAGAACAACCTGCCTCCAGAAGCTGTGAATGCTCCAACACTGGAAGTTTTTAAGAAGAGACTGGACAGCCATTTGTCTGAAATGGTATAGGGTTTCCTGCCTGAGCAGGGGGTTGGACTAGATGACCTCCAAGGATCCTTCCAACTTTATTGTTGTTGTCTACACACAAAGTACATGTCCCATCACCAAAACAAGGTCCCTGCTACCTTGAAAAGGGGTCTCTATTATTGACTCTCAACCCAGGAGACCACGAAGACCTCACCTAAAAACAAAAGAGACCCTCCTACTCACCTATTTGGTTCTTCACGGCTTTTCCCTTCGCCACTTCTTCAGCTGCTTTGCCTTGCGAGTGAGTCAAGCGGATTCCAACTTCTGGATCCCTGTCGGCCTCTTCCATTTCCTCCTCACTCTCCTTCGCGCTTTCCTGTGAGTCACTTCCACCTTCCTGGTCTTCTCCTGAGCTGGCTTCCTCTTCTTCCTCGCTTCCAAGCTCCTCCATCCCTTCGGCAAATTTCTCAAAGTCATCAATGGCTTGGAACTGAAGGCAGGTTTTTTCACCTTGTTGGACAGCTTTTTCTCTTCTTCAGCATCACTACTGGCTGCCTCTTCCTCTTCCTCCTCTGATTCTGGGCTCTCATCTTCAGCCAGAATTTCACTGTCAAGATCACCTCCATCTGTCTCCTCACCTGACGTTTCTTCATCTACCAATTAGAAAATACAATGGTTAAGATGGGTGGAAGTTGGACTTACAGTTGCAACTACACATAACCTGCAACGTAATTCTTGACCAAGAATATGATTTTTAAGAAAGTAACCAGCCAAAATATTTATAACTCTTTTCTTTATTTTATAACCTACATGCAAATGGCAGGATGAACTAGCTCCCCAATGATCTAATCTCCAAAGAGATTAGATGCACTTTACAAAGATTCTAGTGACATCAACAGGTTTTTTCCCCCCTAACATTTTATGAGTTAAGTGAATAAATGTGTACACACGTGTGCAGATAATCCTTGATGTATGACCACAATTGAGCCCAAAATTTATGTTGCTAAGTGAGACATTTGTTAAGTGAATTTTAGCCCATTTTACAACCTTTCTTGCCACAGTTGTTAAGTGTATCCTTGCAGTTGTTGAGTTAGTAGCATGGTTGTTAAGTGAATCTGGCTTTCCCATTGACTTTGCTTGTCAGAAGGTCGCAAAAGGGGATCACGTGAGCCCGGGATGCTGCAACGGTCATAAATATAAGTCAGTTGCCAAGCATCCGAATTTTGATCATATAATGATGGGGATGCTGTAATGTCATAAGGGTGAAAAATAGTCGCAAGTCACTTTTTTCAGTGCTGCTGTAACTTAGAACAGACACTAAATGAACTGCTGTTAAGTCAAAGACTACCTGTATATTAAAACACAAAAAAGGCACTGGTTTCTGAACCCAGGAAAGGTTACTATAAGGAGATATGCTTTGCTGAAAAAGGCTTAGCCCACACCTTTTCAAAAGGTTGTAAGTCAAGGACTATCTGTACACAGAACAGGTGAGTATTTTACACCTCAACTCCAGGATCATATGCAAATAAAGATAACAACAACCAGGATTCCCCAGCAGATTCTTGCCTGCATATCTAACTTTTTTGTAAAATTGCCGTAACCCCTATCTCAAAAGCTGTAGAAGTTAATCTTCCCTTACAATGTCAACAGAGCACAGAAATCTCAATAAAGCTAATGCATCATACAACTCAATACCATCTGGAAATTTTGGGCTATTAAAATTAACAGAAATTATATGTACATTCTACACATATCTTCCGCTACACATCACTTCTTGCATTTTCCACATTACGAGGCATGTGGAATACCAACCTCACGGTTTTTGGCCCAAAGGGACAACTGGAAAATCTCCAGCCGATTAAAATCTCAAACTCACACTTATCCACAGCAGGAGCTGGACTGATTATCAGACCCATTGATTAGCTGACAGCCTTTCCCATTAAATAATGAGATAATGGGTGAGCATTGCAAGGTGATCACGTTCCCTTATCCACGTCTTTATAAAGAGAGGAGGAGGAGGTGTTGTACATGAGAAAGATACAGTTCCAGCGAGATCCGTCAGTATAAAAAATGGGCTGCCAATTTCTTTCCCACCAGTCTGATGTGGCTCCTGTTCCTTCTGACAGCAAGCTTCCCCACTGATAAAGGTTTCCCCTGTCCAGTCATGTCCGACTCTAAGGGGCGCTGCTCATTTCCATTTCTTAGTGAAGGAAACCAGCGTTGTCCAAAGACATTGCCATGGTCATATGGCCGGCATGGCTATACGCCAAAGGTGCACAGAACGCTGTTACTTTCCCACTGGAGTGGTATCTATTTATCTACTCACATTTTCCTGCTTTCCAACTGCTAGGTTAGCAGGAGCTGAGGACGGGTTCACCCAGTAGTGGGATTCAAATACCTGAACATCCAGTTCTCTGCCTGGATGCAGGCCTGGGCCTCCTAGAATGGACTTCCGGAAGGGACATCCATGCACTTCCTGTGGGCTGTTCTAGGCCTGGGAGGCCTCCTTCAGGCCTCCGAGGCCTAGAACAGACTTCCGGAAGTGATATCAACGCACTTCCAGCAGGCCGTTCTAGGCCTGGGAGACCTCCTCCAGCCTCCGAGGCCTAGAATGGACTTCCAAAAGCAGTATGGATTCAGCCAGTTCTACGGACTCAACAAAATTTAGCTACTGGTTCTACTGAACCGGTGCGAACTGGCTGAATCCCATCACTGGGTTCACCCCATCGTATGGCGCTTGGGTCTCAAACCCAGGCTTTCCAGCTGACAGACTCAGCGTGTTTACCCACTGAGCCATTGAGCTGAGAAGTGTACCAATCTTCGGTCAATAGCTATGCTCTTCTGCTAGAACAGACATGTCAAACACAAGGCCCGGGGGCCAGATGCGGCCCGCAAAGTGGTTTCATGTGGCCCGCGAAGCCATCCTGGAAACAGTGAAGGAACGGGCCCTGCTGCCTTGGCCCTGGCCCAGGCCAGCTGGGAGCCAATGTACAATTTTGTGGTGGCCATTTTGGCACTTGCCCTGGTGGACCATGCCTTGACACTTACCCCAATCCCACCCCCTTCTGCCAGAGACCCTCAGATCTGTCCCACTCCTGCCCAGGCCTCTAGAGGCACCCTTGACGCAAATGATGTAGAACTGGCCACGCCCACCCAGTAGCCACACCCACTCCATCCATGCCCACCCAGTAGGCTGCACCCACTCTGGCCACACCCACCCATCCCCCCCTAGGGCAACAGCAATGCTGACAAGGCCCTCAGTGAAACTGAGTTTGACACCCCTGTGCTAGAACCTCCAAACCACCTCAAGGTGCCCACTGAATGTGGCAATTGAAATACCCAAGGACTTGGCTGAAAAGAAGGACAAGCTCATAAATAAATCATCCTTGACTTATGACTGGTCACTTAGCAACCATTCAAATTACAGTGGACCTTCCTGGGAATATTTATAATCCAGTTCCAAATTTCCAACAGCCATCACCCCCTGGTCACGGGACCAGACTTCAAGGACTTGTCATCCAGGCCTCATTATGCCCGTTTGTAGCATCCCACAGTCACGTGACCGCATTTTACAATGGCTTTATTTCTGGTTTTTAGCAAAAGCAGCCCAAAGCCAACCATTGGTTCACTTAGTGACTACCACGTTCCCTTAATGACTACCACAAAAAAAAAGGATATAAAATCAGGTTGGTCACATGGGTCATCCACTTTACGACTGTCATGACTTAAGACCATAATGGGCAGGTTCCATTACATTGTAACTCGAGGGCTACTTGTAATTTCTGAGGAAAATCTATATAGGTAGTCCTCGACTTATGACCACAATTGAGCCCAGAATTTATGTGGCTAAGTGAGAAATTTGTTAAGTGAGTTTTGTCCCATTTTATGACTTTTCTTGCCACATTTGTTAAGTGAATCACTGCCATTCTTAAGTGAGTAACATGGCTGTTAGGTGACTCTGGGTCATTCCTATTGACTTTGCTTTGTCAGAAGGTCGCAAAATGGGATCATGTGACCTGGGGGACACTGCAACCGTCATAAATATGAAGCAGTTGTCAAACGTCCGAATGTAAATCACTTGACCAGGGGGGTGCTGCAACGGTCATAGGTGTGAAAAATGTTCATAAGTCACTTTTTTCAGTGCGACTGTGGCTTTGAATGGTCACTAAATGAACTGCTGTAAGTCGAGGACTAGCTGTATAGATTCTACTACAGATTTAAACTTTGATTTTTAACGTGTAAACTTCTGGCAGGGCACTAGACATAATAAAATCCATACTCTGGAAAGAATAGGGAACTTTGTAATTTGTATTCAAGACTGCCTGCGTGGTGTGACTGATCAAAGAATAGGGCAAGGGAGAGAATCTCTCTGCTATTGCTTCACATCATAACATGGTCAATTTATGTCAATAAGAAACAGGCCTCTGTTATCCTTTTATTATTTAAAGTGTTTGCATACCATCCGTTATGCAACAGATATTACGACATCGAAGGAATAACTCAAATATATCATAAAAGTCAGGCCATTAATAAAATGAGGCAGCAAGGAAAGGCGTGCAGCAAGTGAAGACATTTTTCAAATTAAAGAGCTTGGGAAGATAAACACTGTTTTAAACCTGAATATTTAAGGAGAGAATTGTAACAAAGGGCCCTAAGACACTTCCCTGCCTCACTTTAAACACACAGAGCAGCCTGACTGGGTAGAACGAGTTATCATTTCACGCTGCCCGCTGTTCACAACAATCCTGAATAAAACTTCAGCTCTGAAAGAATGGATGCCAGATGCCAGCCAGCTGGACATAAATGGGGTACACCTCCTGCTCCCTATTTGACCCCCAACATTTAGTATCCAGAGCTCAAGTGCTGCCAAACGTGGATTTTCTCTGGCCAATGTTACTGGCAGATCTCCAAAAGCTGACAGGAGTGAAGAGAATAAATTTAATCCCTGCAGATGCTAGCCAAGGATGCCACTCATCCTTCACTCAGCTTGGCACTCATCTCCCTAGCTCTCAAGAGAAAAATTCCCAATCGGACCATCCAAGGTCCTCTAAACAGGAGTTGCCGGCAGGTGTACCCAGGTTATTTACGTTATGAATAGCTTGTTACAGTTGTCCTCAACTTACAACAATTCATTTAGTGAACGTTCAAAGTTACAACACCACTGAAAAAAGTGACTTATGACTGGTTTTCAAACTTATAACTGCTGCAGCATCCTCATGGCCACACGATAAGAATTCTCCACTTCTCCTCAGCATAGCAGGCTGAGGAATTCTGGGAGTTGAAGTCCATGAGTCATAAAAGAGCCAAGGTTACCTACCCCTGACCTAGACAATCTGAAGGGTTTGTGTACGGGTTTATCTTCTTGTTACACAAGTTTATCTCATGTAACCCAAAAAATGGGCTTAATCAAGGAAAGCATGTGTATTGCTCCCCAGACTGATAACAGATTCAGGAATCCTTCAAATAAATAATCAGGTGAAACTACCCCATTCTTAGAGGCTTACCAGTTCACAGAAAGGCTGTTAGAACAAAATCTTCCTAACGTTTGCGTTCAAAGAATTCCAGCAGCTGAACTATTTCACTCCCAAAACCAATACATCTCCAAAGCCGATATTTCTTTAATACAGGTTGTTAATATTTTAGATGCTTTTAA